CCTTATCCTTTCATTTGAGGGACAGATGTAGGGCTTTTGCCAACCCACACTAATTTAAAAATAATGAGCTCTTATGTGAAGTTAAATACGATAATTTAAGTGTTAAAATATTTTTGTCATAATTAACTGTACAAGTGTCAGATTAATGAGTCCAAATTTAAAAATGAATGAACCAGAACTTATGAAAAAACTAAGTTTAAGTTATCTGACTTCTCAGTCATTATATTATTAAAATAGATATCATGTAACACATTTCCTATTTAAGGAACCTTTTGCCTTTACAAAAGTTTTCAATAATTTTGACATTAATGTAAAGTAAAAAGTAAACTTTATCAAATTCGGATGTTTTAATTAAGTGGACTCACCTCAAGAATTTATCACACGTTAAGTTTTGTCTTATGAATATTTAAATTTAAAATATCTTGATATACTTTAATAAGAGAAGTTATTAAGTCATTTTGATAATTTCTTTATCTTATATCTCTTAACTTATTCGATCAAAACACAAAATAACATGTTTTTACCTGTAATATTATAATATTCTGCGAAATTATAATTTATAATTATAATATATATTAAATAAATATAATATAAAAATAAATATATATAATATCATTTAAAATTTTTATAATAATATTTATTTTTTTATTTATAAAGTAAAGAAACTAATCTCCGTATAATATTATTTAAATATTTAATTATACGAAGATGCAAAACTTTCAACGACACGTAAGAGTGGAAGAACAACATTTTCAATTTTTCATATTTCCACAGCAAATAACTCGTTTGTCGTTTAGGTAGTAGGGGCATGGAAAGAAGTAAAATATCCTACAAAACGAAACAGGTGACCTTTTATTTCATTTTATTTTATTTTTTAACAGAAAACAGGTGCTTGAATAATAATATACCCCCGCTGGAAAAATGGAAGAGGGAAAAACGGTCGCTTTTGCCATCGGAGTATGAAGTGGGAAAACATGAGAGACAAATTCGCCTACAAATTTATTCAGTAGTCACGACTCACGACAGTCTCGCACGCGTTGCTGGACCATAGGCGAGAACGCTTCATTCAACCTTCCTCATACCAATTCACAAAGAAATCCTGCTCCAAGAACAGTTTTGGTATGTTCATCTACTACTTTTAAATGTTTTTTTGATTTTTCCGAATCGTTCGATCCAATTTACTCAGATTTCTGAGCGATTCAAGCCAACCTCGAGGTGGTTAATTTCTAGTTTTGAGTTTGATTCGACTTGGTTTTTGAAGTAATTAAGCGACACTTTGATTTCGAGCTGGATTTCTGATTCAATTTTTAGAGAAAAAAAAAATGATTTCATTTTTCTGTTTTTTTTTTTTTTTAATCTCTCGAATTCAGAGTTTGAGAGTCGAGAATCTTAGTGCTTGAATTTTTAATTCGGTGCTTCATTTTTGGTGATGGAAAGGCTTGTCGAACTATGTGATCTGGAGGATTTAGAGTAAATCATCACAGAGAAGTATGAGCTGCAACTGTTTTGGTGTTTCATTTGCTAACCGGAAACGGAGTGCTCCGCAGCATGCCAGTGGACTAGACGGTGAGAATCGCATGTTTGACTTTGCAATGGCTTCCACTAAACTTGTTTTCTCTTTTCTTCTTCCTGGTTCCACCGATGCAGGGAGATTCAATATCCGATTTTCAATTTTTTTGAATTTTTAACGTTCCTTTTCACGCCTTCCTATCCATCATAATCACCCAACCTAAATTCGCTTGCAAATGTGTTTCTGGTAAATGTCATGTTGCTACTTTAGAAAGCAAATTAGAAGCTCAATCAGATGTGGTCATGGGTTAATTGGTCTTTGTTGTATGAATCCTATGACTTCCCCTAAATCATGGGCTAAAATGATAAATTCTCATTTAAAGGAAGTTATTAAGATGCATGATGCAGGTACTAATTAATTGGTCTGTTTTTTCTTATGGAAACCTTGGAATGATATAAATTATTGTCTTATTTTAACTGTTTCTTTATGCATATAACATAAAGCAAGTCTGTTTCAGATGTGTTTACTTAGAAACATTCATATGTAGCCTGTGAGAACTCGTGCCAGTGCTTTGATTCTTTGAAAATTGAAAGCATTCCGAGTCCTGTTACGCAGTAAAATTTGTCTTCAAGTGATAGGATATAATATGTATAACCATTCTATATGATTACATATTTTTGTTGTTACATGTTACTAAATGGCCAGAAAGAAAAAATGTTACAATACCTGATTTCTTCTATATTGTTGTTTCTTATTGCTTCTCCTTTTTTTGCCATCAGAGGAAATACTTCGGAACATCAACCTTTTCACCTACAAGGAATTAAGATCAGCTACAGATAATTTTGATTTAAGCAATAAGATAGGGCGAGGAGGTTTTGGAACTGTTTACAAGGTGCTCTTAGTTCACAGATTTCACTGAATAGGCTCTATAGGCTTGATTAGCATGCCAGTCTTTTTGAGAGAGTTTAATTCAATGCTGGATATTTCAGTCTCAACTTTCAAACTACCGTTGAAATCATGCAGTTATCTTGTTACTTTCTTGACAGAAATCATTTGAAACTATAATTTTTGCTTTTGCTCTAGATTCTCCAAAGGATTCATGCTTTGACTTAAATTTTCTACTGGAAACCAAGAAAATTGGGGATGATAAAGCCAAATTGAAAATACATATCTATTGATAGTGTTATACTGTTACTAAAGATTCTCAACATGCACATACACTAAATCCATGCATTTAACTCTATTTATGAATTGGACGTATAATTTATGTGGATGTGCTTAGGTGTTTTTGGCCCAGAGAAGACTACTAGCCAAAAGAAGAAACGGATTTATAAAATCTTTCAAAAATGAGAAAAGTATAATAAATAGGCAGATTTTCATACATTCCTCGCATTAAGTGAATCACTTATGTTTACATCTAACATCTCAAGGATTATATTTACTTACTACACCATATTGCATTGTTGCTAGGGAATTCTAAAAAATAAAATTCAAGTTGCAGTGAAGAAACTTTCTGCTGAGTCAAAGCAGGGAGTACGTGAATTTTTGACAGAGATCAAAACCATATCAAATGTAAAGCATCCAAATCTGGTTGAACTGATTGGTTGCTGTATCGAGGAGGCTCACCGGATATTGGTATATGAATATGTAGAAAACAACAGTCTTGATCGAGCATTGTTAGGTTAGTTTTTCTAACATTTTTGAAATAATGAAATATTAAACCACATTTTTTTATTCAAAAAGAAATACTTAAATTTGTTCACACTCCTCACTTTTTCAGGTAACAGGAGTACAGATATCAACCTGGACTGGGGAAAAAGATCAGCTATTTGCAAGGGTATTGCTAGGGGTCTTGCATTCCTTCATGAAGAACTTGTGCCACATATTGTACATAGAGACATAAAAGCTAGTAACATACTTCTTGACAAAGAGTTTAACCCAAAAATTGGAGATTTTGGGTTGGCCAAGCTCTTCCCGGATGACATCACACACATTAGCACCAGAATAGCAGGAACAACGTATGTTGTGCATCCTTTTTTCTTTTATTTCAATATTAGATTACAGATTACTTTTTCTAATTCAATTCATTTTTGAGGCTTTTGCCATGGTACACTCTTTAAAGAGATTGTTTATCTGTGGCAAAGGGAGCTTAGTTGTCTTTCTTGGACTTAATGAATACACCAATTGCTGCCATGGAGAAATACAAGATAGATCTAGCCCAAGCTGCAATAAACCACTGTAGACGAACAATTGTGACTATAAATGAGATGTAATAGAAGGAAAAAGATTTACATTTTAGGGATAAACCGTGCATCACTCAGTCACTGCAACATGCTTTTGGTAATATATGTAAATTGTGTGAAAGTTCATATGTTGCTATGAAGTGCATTAGTTCTAGGTCTCTAATAAAATTTTGATGTTAAAGAAGATAAAATGTGGATGGAGAAATAGTGTTGAAACTGCTTTATTGAGTCTTTCATGTAACTAAAATAAAGCATTATGTGACTGTAGCTGCCAAAATGAGAAATCTTGTATATAAGTTCAGTGTGCTCTTGTGTTCCACGAATCGACTAGAATGAAAATTATTGGTTGATAATGCTCCCTTTTCTTACGTACAATGGAAAGAACATAATTCCATTTTGCAGGTCCTTTTTCATTCCTTGACCAGAAAGGGGGAAAAGCTGCAAGACCTTATTCTTAGTCTTATGCTAAAATTGATTTTATAGCACAAGTAAATAAAAGCATATACTGAGACATCCTTATTTTGATCAATGCAGTGGTTATTTGGCTCCAGAATATGCATTGGGTGGTCAGTTAACCATGAAGGCTGATGTTTACAGTTTTGGTGTCCTTATACTTGAAATAATTAGTGGCAGAAGCAGCTCAATAGCAAACAGGGGAGGCACGGAGAAGTATTTTCTGGAATGGGTACGTAGGTTTCCCTTTGTTAGCTTCAGGTTTACAATGCAGGTTCATTATTTATCATGTTTGGAGTTCCTTTCTTTCCTTTGGTTGCATATCTTTATTTTCTAATGTTATATGTCATACTTCGGTTGATTGATAATTATTTAGATATGAGATTTGAAGTTAATAAGTTTCTAGGTGTTTCCAGTAATTAATATGCTTCTGCATTATTGCAGGTGATTGATCAACTTAGATATTTTGCTCATAGTTTTATCTGGCAGTAAAATATTGATATCTCTTCTCACTTGCCAACCATTCTTTGCTTCAACAGGCATGGGAGCTCCATGAAGAGGGGAAACTTGTGGAGCTAGTGGATCCGGCTCTTGGAGAATATTCAGAGGAAGAAGTTACTAGGTATATAAAAGTAGCCTTTTTCTGTACCCAAGCAGCGGCAAATCGAAGGCCTCTAATGAACCAGGTTGTTGATATGCTTTCCAAAAATATTAAGCTCAACGAAAAGGTACTCACAGCTCCAGGTTTCTTTAATGACGGAGCATCATCTTCCAAGAAGAAGTCATCTACTGAATCTACTAGCTACGAGATTAGCTCTGTTCCTACCACAATCACGCAGGTGACTCCTAGATGAAGTCTGATCTTTCTATTGAGCCCAGAGGATAATGGATGGTATTAGTAGGTTCGTTCAGTTGGTACTTGGTTCAAATCATTTAATTTTCACAATTCATTCAAGTTACCCTTAAAACCTTTTAGGGTGATGTTATGTGATTAATAAGAACTGGTTTAAGGAAATTTTGATTTCTTTTAATTTGCAAATGTTTAACCACTTTGTAAATAATCAGTTTTCCATCTAGATTGCACCAATTGTAAAAGAGGATTATTGAATGGGGAAGAACCCCTTAATATTAGAGCTCATCTCCCATCCAATGTCTGGACTCTGCACAACAATTTTTCTAATTTTATTTCACATGCTACCCTAGTCTCAACACAATAGACAAAGAGAATAAAATGGGGTGATAGATAAAAATGAAAGAAAAGAAAAGAAAAGAAAAGAAAAAAAGACTTATCTCTAATCTCTATTTCACAAACATAATAACGTAAAATAGTGTCCATAAGGTGACTTTCTAAAATTTTCAATAAGATGAGATTATCAATGGGGTACTTGGGTCATTGGCTTTATCAATGTTAAAGGGCAGGTAAGTAGAGGCCTTAAGGACATAAGTAGGTACAGAATCTATGGTAGATAATTAACCATCACACGTGCAACTGTTGTGGCAACAATGGCATACCTGCTGCTACCACATCCATAAACCGCAACTTGCATCTATTCTTTCAAAAACCAATCTGAACAAATAAGATCGGGTGGATGATTATAAAACAGATGACAGAGGACATGGAAGTTAACAATAATCGCCAAGAAGGGAATGAGATCCCATGCCATATATCCCAAAAGGAATTGACAGATTACAGCAGCAAGCAAGGGAGCCAGTTCCACACCATGTTTTACATCAAAATCCCACTCGTGTGCTCCGCAGGAGATGGGATACCACTCTAAGGTAGAAATAGATAAGAAATCGTTGTTTACAAAAAACCAAAATATAGAAGTGCAAGCCAATCTTGATGAAGAGATACTAATCAATGCACAAAAAGTTGATGAGATTTATTAATATTAATTAAAGATAATCATTATTTTAATTTAAAAAA